GGAGTTGAGCACGTGAAAAGCACACCTTCGAGCTGAATGAGTAGAAAGCTGTGTCACTCCCTCATGATGCACATGAAACTTCACTTTTGCCCTGCGCTTGATCTTTACGTCATAATGCCGTGTGAAGTTCGGTTTTAAAACGAGGAGCCTGGTGGGTTGATGACTACTTTCAAACATGACAGCACTTGTGGTTGCACCGTGATGGTACCGTGAAATATGGAAGCAATGTCGGTCATGGTGTTATGGCGAGGTCACACGAAAAAAGAAACATTTGAAACACAAAAAAGCTCAGTTCTTCTGTTCTAAAACTTCTTATGTCCTTTCTTCTGCTGTTTTTTGGTTCTTGAAACATGTACTCAGAAATGAAATTTTCACCTTTTCGAAGAAATAAGTTCTGGGAAACATTTTTCGTGGGCATAATCGTCCACACTCCATGCGTTATCCTCTCTTTTTGGCCTCCCAAAACTGACTCGCAGTTATCTCCTCGTTCCAGCGCACATAAACCCACTAAGCCATCGCGTGACGAGAATTGGCAGCGATCTGTGACTCCAGCCGGCATTCTGGCCGGCGTCATGCCTGCCGCCGGCGGGCAAGGTAGCGGTGCGGGCGGACACTTTGGCGAGCCGGCGCCCCGACCGCCGCAATGTCAAGGTCACGCGCCGCCCCGCTATAAGACCAAAACCAGGCCAGCCGGCACCCACGACGTCAGTGCTCTAGACAAATCGGCAACATGAAGGTAACTCGGAGCGGGCGTGTCCGGCGCGGAGAAGCCTGAGGGCAGAGTGCTCGTGGTGGAGTTCCTGGCGAGTGGCGAACGGTGGCGAAGTGAGGCGCATACGCGAACTGGCGTTCCTAGTGCAGAACCACATACCAGGACTCGTGGAGTGATATCGGACTTGTAGTTCAGTGGCTTCGTGGCCAGGAATTTTGACGTCGTGCATTTTTAAGGCCATGAACGTTGGTGTAAGTCGGGGCATCACCATTCTTCTCTCTCTCTCTCTCTCTCTCTCTCTCTCTCTCTCTCTCTCTCTCTCTCTCTCTCTCCTCTCTCTCTCTCTCTCTCTCTCTCTCTCTCTCTCTCTCTCTCTCTCTCTCTCTCTCTCTCTCTCTCTCTCTCTCTCTCTCTCTCTCTCTCTCTCTCTCTCTCTCTCTCTCTCTCTCTCTCTCTCTCTCTCTCTCTCTCTCTCTCTCTCTCTCTCTCTCTCTCTCTCTCTCTCTCTCTCTCTCTCTCTCTCTCTCTCTCTCTCTCTCTCTCTCTCTCTCTCTCTCTCTCTCTCTCTCTCTCTCTCTCTCTTTTTTCCCTCTCCATCTCCCTCTCTCTCCGACTCCCTCTCTCTGTCCCTCAATTTCTTCCTTTTTTCTCTCTCGACCTCTTTCTTTGCCTCCCCTCCCGCGCACTCTCTACATATTACGAGCCTAGTGGTCTAAAATGTGAAAATGGCATGCTGAATTACATGCGAGTAATGTATCATTTTGTGCCAAAAATTCCTATAGAAATCCAGCCATTTACATGCAATTTGTTTTCTTACGCCTGCTGTTAAGGTTGTCTGTTTTCCGGACGGTCATCAGTGCGAAGTTTATTAGAAATTTTTGCGGCGCTGCGGTAAATTTCGTCTTTAACCTTAGTCTATAACATGCCATATACCGATAACCCCGATTTAAGAAGGGTTCATCCATTTCTTCCGGTGCATTGCATCGTTCATTCTTGTCCTTCGTCGGTAGAAATTCCAAGAGCTTTGCACATCTGGCCAGTATGGACAGCCCAGCACGGTTGTCTAAGCCATGTCAGTTTCAAAGCAAATGGCAGTACCAGCAGGGCAGTTAGCTCAAACGTAGTGCTTCGCCAGGATGGTGGAACGTGGTGTAATCTTGCAAGCGATGTAAATCCGATATCTGAGTGAGTGATGCGGTGAATGCATTTCACAGATGGCTCAGAAGTGGCATGTAGACGCGCAGCGAGTCTGATATTGACAAATTGCTTAATGTTCCAATGCTCAAGCGATGCTATAACGCAGGATGTTTCTACAATGCAGTGGGTCACGTGCTGTAACGCTACGTCACGCCATGTGCGTATTATTTTCGATCCGAAAGAGTGGTCTGATTACCATGTGACGCTATTACCCATGCATGCATTGAGGAAGCAGCGTTTTAAATTACAGTAAACAGAGACATTGATAAAAACTAAAAATTGCATTTGACGCATTGGGCACATCGTTTCCGCCAGCTCAACGGCCTGTATGACCAATGAGCGGTTTGTGCGGGTGTGCAGCACTTAGCTACGCCAGTTACCGGTCCTGCATGCCTCGAGTAGCACCTAGTCGTCAGGCGTAGGGTTTGAATCTATGAGCGACACATCAAGTCGTCTTTCAATGGGTGCAGTTTTTTCCAAACTAGTAGCTCATTGCAGCAATGAGCGCATTTAATAAAGCTCATGAATAACGTGTCAAAGCGCAATGAAACAAGGGCACAAAATTCCGCAGCGCTTATGATGCACTAGAACACAGAATTATGCTTCGACGAGTTCTGTTCACCAATGGGTGTTTTTTTAGTAGCTGAGAGGAACCAGATGCTTACCACAAGACGCTGTAATTCGTTTTTGCATTCAAATGGGTATATTCAAAACAGAGTTGCACCATCTTAGGAGAAATGTTAATGTCACGTTCCGCAACGGCTCCTCGAGACTTTGAGGCCTTAGCATCGCTTCTAAAATGCAGCTTTTTAACTCTGACGTGCAGAGCAGCGGGGAATTTAGTAACTTTTGCATATTTTTGCATACTTTGTTGGTCGAGCGGGTTGACATGTTCACGTCACCTGGATGCAACAACTCGATAGGTCTACTTCAAGTGCTGAATGGATGTAGACTTGGATCCCCGGCGGCAACTGGCGTGCAAATGATTTATTTGGCTGAGAACGCATTAGAAACATCGTACAATGTAGAGGCCAGGGAAAGGTTACATGCTGAGCTCAGGAACTTTTCAGGCACGAATTTGACATGCTGTTATTCGCCAATTTGTTGGGAAGAACGCGCGAACAGTTAGCCCCGCGGGTCACTGGAGGCCATGTTATGCACCATATTTATTCTGGCATGTCTTCCAAGCAAATCAACCAGCGAATTGAAACGCTCCGTGTTCCTATAGAAACACTAGAATTACATTGCGTCAAAACCTTTGGCCGCTAATGTTAAGTGAGGTAAAAATGGCGTCACTGGTGCTATCGTAGGCACTAGGTTTTGAGTCTGCAGATTTTTTTGGTCTCTATGACATTTTTTGATATGTGATCGCACACTTATGGTAGCTGGCTTAAAACGCTACATGAGGCTAACATAAATCGAGGTAGCCCACCTTAGCCTTATGCTAGGTCATCATGCATTACTAATGTTCTTTGTTGTCTTTCCGATTGTTGCACGTTGTATTGGCGAGTAAAGGCCAAGACACTGTGCGAAGGTGAAAGTGCGACGCTTAACGCCAGCAGCCCGTGGCACATCGCCATCTTGCCACATCCGCTATCCCCAAGTAGCCACGTCCAACTGCACGAGAACGTGGAAAGCCCGCACGTGCTGTCGTTGGGCGGCGACGGCCCGTGCCGCGTATGAGGCCGGCCACTGTCAGCTGGCGGAACGCAAGCCTCGCGCCCCGCGAGGCCAGCGTGATGCGCCGCATCACATTGGTCTCGCAGTGCTGCAGCTTGGAACCGTGACGCAGCCTGAAGCGTATTTCTGGAACATGTGAAGCACTTCAAGCACGCTCATATTGGCTTAGTGGGTGTGTTTGGTAGGCAGTACAGACTTAGAATGTCAGGCCTTCCTAATTCACTTTGCGCTTGTCTCCTACACAGTGTAGGAATGCGATAGCAGTAATATGGTGTGCCTATGCCGTCTAGAGACCTAAAATATGACAGATCTGTATATTATACAGATGAATTACGCTTTCAGGCTTGACCGGAAGTGTGGCTGATGACAGAGTTCGTGTGGTTTATTAGAAATATATTATAGCAAATTAGAGGGATTTATATATCTCTATATAGCAAATTACAAGATAGCGAATTAGAAATAACGCCGATTTTACATCTTCCCAGCATAGGGCGGCAGTGACGCGAGGTCGGTTTTTCCAATGAGGCTGACTTCTGCTCAGTCACCTCATCAATACGTCAGTAGCTTTTCATACAAGCTTGATGCATTAAAAAACAGCGTAAGGAAACTTGTTTTTTGACCTGTCATTAATAACACATTTTCTGTGCGCTGATAAAGTTTTCTATTGTGATTCGAATCACCAAAGTCGGTCGATTGGCTCCATATGCACAGAAAGAGCGAGAGGAAGTGGCGATAAACCGCAGTAGGTTACAGTTAATTGAAGGTATCAGGGATAGGACACAAAAGATGTCGGGTCACTATCAGCTGATAACAACTTTAGGGGACGCGAGTGGTGGCCAGGCGCCCGTGGAGGAAGACAGCGGGTGCGGATCATTCTTGGTTGTACATCCCATGGCAAATTCAGCGTGTATGACCTTCTTGTTCGCTTGTTCCAAGATTCGTGTAGCGTTCCTGCCATTTTCGGTGCATCGATATAGAATATTGTCAAAGTTCATCTATTTCTAGACATTCCGAGGGGGTCGATCCCCCTTTTAAGACGAATATTAAACTATAAACATGCAGTCACACACAATATATAGGTAAAAGTTTGATTTTCATCACATTTCTTCGACGCACAAGCTTCATAAATTTGATAGCAAAATACAGTAGCATGGTGCATGATCTTTTTCAAGGTACACTTTCGTGCGGCTAACAGTTTTGCCATTTTCGCCACATCGATTTAGTAGAGTACTAGTCTGGTAGTTCGGCTTTACGGGCGTTGGGTCTGCCTCACAACTCACAGGTCGCACAGTGAAAGTTGCGTGAGCTGTTTGTTTTGTATGTGACGATGGGTGCCATGCCTCTGATGTTCAATGTTTCGAGTGTGGTGAGATGTCTATTAGTTTTGGAATGTTTTAATTCAGTGTTGTTCATGACTGATGCATTTATGGTGAGTTTGGTGTTGTGGTGTGCATGCACATATGTTTTCGGTGCCACTTACCGTAAGTACATCGCTCCACCTTGCGGGTTCCACAGTTCCCGACGGTACATTCGATACAGTCAATTTCATTGGTCTGTTTCAACTTATCTCTGATCTGGTAGGGGTTATTTGCCATATCAGGAAAGATGTTTTGGGACTTTTTAGTACATTACAAATCTTAAGGTTTCTCCGTTTATCAGTGGGGTTGCAGTGTTCGGGGACACTGCCGCAGCCTGGCCCAGACCGAGCGCAGCCGCCAGCGCTGGGCTCTCCGCCGTCCGCCCCCGGCGCCGTCTCCCCGACCTCACCAGCGCCGCTCTGACCGCAGGCGCTGTTTCTCGTCGCCACTGCCGCGGCAATGGCGGCCGCCACGGGCCCGGGCCCGCTCACCGCGCCCGGCCACGCCCCCGGCTACGGCTACGCGCGGCCGTACCAGTTCCAGTACGGCGTGTCCGACCCCGTCACCGGCACCGTGTTCTCGCACGAGGCGAACAGCGACAGCCAGACGGTGCTCGGCTCGTACTCGGTCGACCTGCCCGACGGCCGCACCCAGCACGTCCGCTACATCGCCGACCAGGTCGGCGACGGCGGCTACAACGTCGTCGTCACGTACGACGGCGTGGCGCAGTACCCGAAGACGGTGCCCGCGGTGCACGGGCCGGCGGCCTACGGCGCCGCTCCCGTCCACCTGCTGAAGCCCGCAGCCGCCTACACGGCCGGAGCTGGTGCCAAGACGTCAAGCCTGGCCTACGGAAAGCCGCTGGCGTACGCTCCCGCCTCTGCCTACGGTGCGGCTCCAGTGTACCACAGGGCGTCCGGCTACGCTGGTTCATCTGTCGGGGCGTCCGGCTCTGCTCACCACGCCGGGACGGGGGGCCATCACGTCCCCGCCCATTCGCACTCATCAGCTTATGAGCCCAAGGCGGCCCACGCCGCTAGCGCTTCTCACACTGCTGCGCCTGCGTTCAACCATCTTTCTGCCTATAAGACATCCTCTGCTTACACGCCGTCGCCCGCCAACAAGCCGTCCTCTGCCTACAAGCCATCATCCGCCTATAAGCCGTCCGCTGCCCACAAGCCCACTTCTGCCTACGCTGCTGGTGCTTCTCACGCTGTAGCTCCGGCCTCCACGCACTCTTCCGCCTACAAGCCCGCCTCTGCATACCCTGCCGGCTCTTCTCATACTGCGGCTCCTGCCTATACGCACTCTTCCGCCTACAAGCCCACCCCTGCCTACGCTGCCGGCTCTTCTCATACTGTAGCTCCTGCCTACACACATCCCTCCGTCTATGCGCCTATTTCTGCCTACGCCGCTGGCGCTTCTTACCCCGCAGCGCCCGCTTACAACCCCAGCTTTGCTTATAACTCTAAGTCAGCTTACGCTGCCGGTGTTTTCCACGGCGTGGCTCCTGCCTACAGCCACCCATCCGCCTACGCTCCCGTCTCAGCATATACCGCTGGCGCTCCGCACCCCGCCATCCCCGCATACACCCACATATCCGCCTATAAGCCCATATCGACGTACGCCTCTGGTGCCCCGCACGCCGCAGCCCCTGCCTATGCTCACTCCGCTGCCTACATGCCTGAGTACTCCTACGCCAACGGAGCCGGTTACCATGCCTACTCGAACGTTTCTCCATACCATCCTGCCAACTCTTTCCACGGTGGGGCCGGCTACCACCCGGTTCGCGCCTACAGCCCCGCCCTGGCCAGCGGCCCGCACCGCGGCTATCCAGCTCCCGTCTCCGGGTACGATGGGAAGACCGCCCACAGGCTGGGCGGCGCCCACGACCAACTCGCGGCGCACGAGTCGGCGGCTGGCCACGGGTCAGCGGCATCTTACCGGCTTCAGTCCGGGCATGGCAGCCCGTCGGCACACAAACCCGTCCCGGTCCATGGCAGCCAGCCCTACTCTGAGCCTGCTCCGGCATACGCGCCATCCGCGCCGTACAAGCTTGCCTCCGCCTACGGCGATGCCTCCGCCCACCAGTCTGCCTCCGCGGGTGCTCATCCCTCCAGCTACAAGCCGGTGTCTGGCCGAGGCTCTGGCTCCTCAGCGGCTTACGGCGCGCACCCCAAGTCCAGCGTGATTATTCACGGTGCGGCGCATGGCTCCAAGCCCGCTTCCGCGCCCGCCCACCTCTCGTCCTACGCACCCCAGGCTGCGTACCACGGCTCCCCCAGCCCGAAGACGTCGTCAGCAGCCTACGGTCACGGCGCCAGCTCTGCGCACGCCAGCCTGGGACACGGCAGCAACAGCGTCCACAGCTCTACCGGCAGCTACGGCCACAGTTCGGCGAAGGCCCACAGCTCCACCGACAGCTACGACCACAGCTCGGCGGAGGCCTACGACTCCACCGGCAGCTACGGCCATAGCCCGGCGGAGGCCCACGGCTCCACCGGCAGCTACGGTCACAGCTCGGCGAAGGCCCACGGCTCCACCGGCAGCTACGGCCATAGCCCGGCGGAGGCCCACGGCTCCACCGGCAGCTACGGCCACAGCTCGGCGAAGGCCCACGGCTCCACCGGCAGCTACGGCCACAGCTCGGCGGAAGCCTACGGCCACGGCGGCTCTCTTTCGTACGCGCCAGCTAAGCCTGTGTACAAGGCACTGTCTCCGCCCAAGAAAATCGAGTTCGTCCACGTGTATCATCCCGGGCCCTACCACAAGACGAAGTCCCATTAAGCAACCGGCTGTGTTGAGGGTCGCATGAGCACGTACATGGAGAAGAGCGTCCGCCGTCCGTGTTACTTTGTTGGATGAATGTAATATATTGTGTGGGTGTGCCGGGATGAATGTACCGCTTAGCTAAAACGCAATGTAATCAAGGCCATGGAGATGGAACGACAAGCTGCTCAGCCGTGTCGAGCAGCAGCTGTGGTTTTAAATTACGCATGGTGCATGTATTTTAACCCCGTGCGCTTGCAATGAAATACAATTTTGTCTTCGGTGCATTGATGGAGAGCAAGACACGAGCTGTGGCTCGCCTCGGACCTGATCGGAATATTAATGCAGTCCAGCCCAAGTATCAATAATCATTTCATGAGGTTATTTAATTAATGAAGGGCTTTAATCTTCTAGCGCATCTGCGTTGAACAGTAGCTGTTTGGGCTGGAAGTGGACCCACGGCCGTTTGATATTTGGCGGCACAAAACTAAGACGGACGACAGAGTTGAGCCGGACCCTGTCAAAGCAAAGCTCTCGGCGCATCGGATCTGTTCCCGCATGCATTCTTGCAATACGTAGGTAGGCTTCACAACACCTCTGTCAAAATCGATGTTCAGTTCTCTTAGCAGCTGTTGCACTGCATCTGAACATCTGTTCATCATAGTACGGCTGTCGCTGCCAGCTTTCTTAAGTGTCAGTTGATGATATAAGCCAAGTACCAAGTCTTGTTTGTTTTGCTAGAAACAGCAGCCATGCGCTTTCACCAATGTGTATACGTGATGGCGTGTGATTTCAGCTCGGCTTTGTTGTTGGATAGCGTATATTTGCTGTGTTCCTGATGTGAACAAAGTTCATGATGTGGTGGTAAGACCATTTTGTTTTTTTGGCAACCATTTTTCCCACTTTGATAGCTTGACTAACTTCGATCTCACCGCGTATCCTGAGCCTGACGGATCACCGGAGGCCTCGAGGGGGAGCAGAGCGCCTTCGATTACCAGAGAGTGTCCTTGGTTTGAAGTCAGACGAATGCACACCCGTCAAAAACAAGGCACCATGTCGATCTCCGTTCCCGGATTCCCGGGATTCCCTCCGCATCGTCAACAGCGCGCTCGATCGGCCCGACACGGCTCCGCGCAACAAAGCGTGGCGATTTCAGTGTCCGGACAGGAAGTCCACTCGCAGTTCGCCGAAGGCCTTTTTCGACTACTATATGGCGACTTGCATAACATTCACCAAATGGGATTTTCGACTTTCCTAGAGCCGCCAGTTTTGCGGCGGAGGACGCCCCGCCGTCCGGGGCGGTATCGCCTAGCTGGCGACCGGCCAGGGTCTGGCCAGCTGACCCGGGCCTGGGAGCCGACGCGCTGGCTTGGCAGGACAGCTGAGCCGACCCATCAGTGTGACGTCGACCAGAGCCGGCCGGCTCAGCTGAGCGCCGGTCTGTCGCAGCCACCTGTTTACAGTAGTGCGGTGCTCACAGACCGTCGGGAACGCCAGGCCTGACTGACCGGTGCGAGGTGAGTGCTGTCCGTTGCAGCTTCTCCAGTGCCGGTAAGCCTACTGTCATGGCTGTATGCTAGTCATAGCTGATGGACGCGTAATGGGTTTTACCCGGCTCATGTCCGTACCCGTGAATGCCCCTCAGTGTTTGCTTACCAGCGACGTCTTATGAGAACAGACTACATAATAACCGGCCCTGTGTTCAATGTCTTCTGGCTAGCGGCCCACACTGGTAGACTTACAGAAACCGTGATCGCCTGAAAGGACTAAGCTCCACTCAATGTTGTAAGTAAAAAGGCCTATAATGCCTTTGGACCCCAAGCTTTGCCTTTGAACCGGTTGGTTCCGGTTACCGGGCTTGACTGGCCTGTGACCCGCAACCATCCGGCTGACCTAGTGACCGGACTGCCTGTCCTTTGACCCGTAACCATCCGGCTACCCCCAGTGACCGGGCTTCACTGCCCCGTGACCAGTAACCATCCGGCTGCCCCCAGTGACCGGGCTTCACTGCCCTGTGACCAGTAACCATCCGGGCACCCCCAGTGACCGGGCTTCACTGCCCCGTGACCAGTAACCATCCGGCTGCCCCCAGTGACCGGGATTCACTGCCCTGTGACCAGTAACCATCCGGCTGCCCCCAGTGACTGGACTGACTGCCCTGTAACCTGTAACCATCCGGCTAACCCCAGTGACCGGGCTTCACTGCCCTGTGACCAGTAACCATCCGGCTGCCCCCAGTGACTGGATTGACTGTCCTGTGACCCGTAACCATCCGGCTGCCCCCAGTGACCGGACTGACTGTCCTGTGACCCGGAGCCCGGCTCCGCTGAAGGCCGGCCATGGCGCCTTCGGTGGCGGTGATCGGCGCCGGCGTGAACGGCGTGGGGGCGGCGCTGGCCGTCCAGGAGGCCGTGCCCGAGGTCAAGGTCACGATCGTCACCGCCGAGCTGACGCCCGACACCACCGGCGACGGGTCGGCCGGCTTCTGGGGCCCGCGCTCCATCGACGGAGACCCCGTGCAGGTAATGCGCGGCGTCGGCAGAGGCGCAGAGGCAGGGGCGCCAGCTCGGCTTCTGCCGAGCTGGCGCCGCCTTGTACAGCTGACAAAGTTGCGGTAACACGTGACTGAGCCGCCCGCCGCGTCATTTAATGGTATGCCAGTGAGTATAGAGGGAATCTGTCATCTGGCTTGCGGTGGTGGCTGCGAGTTTGCCAAGCAGCTCGTCTCATTCTCCTTTGCCGTTACGTTAAACGCCATGCAACAAGGGCCCCGTGGTACTTTTGGAACATATTCAGCTAACCGGTATGTGATTGGTAGCCAGTTAGCTGCTATTCGCTGTGTATTGGTGACGCATTATCGAGATGGAGCCAAAGAAACAAGCTCTCATTTTGTTGAAAATAACTGTAAGAAAACTTATTCAAGTACGCCCCTGCGCCGAACAATAAATCCTGCCAGTTGTGCGTTTTGTATGTGACCGGGAATTCTAGACCAAAAACTGTCCTGACCAAACAACACATGCTCACCTCTCACAAGTTGCAGCCCCCATGCAGAGGCTTAAACTTTATGGGTCACCGCAAAGAGAAAACCCCTGGCAAAACAAGAGATATGGAATAGATCACGAAATTAAGCCGCAACGTTCTACGCAGCTAAAACGTTTTTTCCCCATCACAGTCCCTTTTGGCCCAAATCCCTTCAAGCAACCGACAAAGTAGCGACGGGCCAGATGACGGCGAGACAAGTTGCCTTGACCTCCACTCGACCACCGAGGTCGAGAACCTCATGTATTCACGCCACCACCAGAGCCACTTGCCACCGGGTGGGCACACCATGGCAGCTCATGGTACGGTAATGATCCCACAGCCCCTGTCGGTCAAAGGTGGGTGCAACATTGCCCCATAGTTCGGACTGATTGGTGCGCTGCCCGCCGGGTCAGGGTCTGCGCCGTGCATAACGAGCCATGCTCAGCAAGGACTTCAATCATGATGCCGATCAGGAGAACAATGCATGCAACGTTATCATAAGAATCGCGGTTGATCGCAACAATTGCAGTTAATAACCGATGGATAATTCAGCTCCGCGCCGTGATTGCCTCAGTTTAAAGCAACCGTGGTCAAAGAGAAAAGAAATTGCTTTGGCGTCATTGCATCACGTTTACATTTTGTCGACGATCCACATGTGATGGAACATTTCTGTACTATCAGAACCTATTCAGCAACATTCGCCATGACATTGCGCTATGCTGTAGAGAGTTGGAATGTTATCTACACTGTCTTTTTAGTAGGTACATATTTGGCGGACTATGGGCGCCAAAACCAAAGGCCTATGATGTACCTTGGTATGTCGGTAAGGCTTGCCGCTTCTTAATTTCACGTACTTTTTCTTTCCGCCCATACACAACACCGCTTTTCGTTTTGCATATCCGCGTTCGTTTCAAGTGTAAGCTCCGCGCCTGCTCTGGGCTGGCCTCCCCAGCCTCCGTCCGCCTCCTCGAGCTCCCCGCGGCTCCCCGCCCGCAGATCACCTCCTGGGGCCAGCGGACACACGACTTCCTGCACCAGCTGTGGCTGGATGGCCAGTGTCCGGGCGTCGGCGTCCTGCCCGCCTACGACGTGGCGGATCAGCTGGAAGTGCCCTACTACAGCGCCGTCCCCTTCGCCTACGAGGTGATGAGTGAGCGCGCGCTGCGTGAGGCGGGCCACGCCGGCAAGCAGGGCCACCAGTACGTCACCCTGTACGCCGAGCCGACCAAGATGCTACCTTTCCTGATGGAGCGCTTCCTCGCGCGCGGCGGGCGCGTGCTTCGCGCGAAAGTCGAGCGGCTCGATCAGCTGGCCGGCTATGACGTCATCGTCAACTGCAGCGGGCTGGGCGCGCGTGACCTCGTCGGCGACGACAAGGTCATGCCGGTGCGCGGCCAGGTGGTCAAGGCGGCGGCGCCGGCCATCAAGGCGGCCAAGTTTGACTTCCCGGCCACGTACGTGATTCCCAACGATGACGTCGTGGTGCTGGGCGGCACGGCGCAGCGCGGCGACTGGCGGCGCCAGGTGGACCCGGCCGACACGGAGCGCATCCTGGCCGGCTGCCGGCGCTGGATCCCGAGCCTGGGCGCGGCACTGACCCAGCGCGTCTGGGCCGGGCTGCGGCCGTACCGGCGTGGCGGCGTCAGGCTGGAGACGGAGCGGCGCGCCGTGGCCGGCCGCCTCGTGCCCGTGGTGCACAACTACGGCCACGGTGGCTCGGGCGTCACCCTCTTCTGGGGCTGCGCGCTGGATGTGGCGGAGCTGGTCAGACGGGAGGTGGCGGGTGAGGCGCGGGCCAGCAGCAAGCTGTAGTCGCCCGGCGGTGACCGTGGGCTGAGCGCTCAGCAGGGAGGGACCGCTAATACTGCTGCTGGCATTCAGTACCGTAAACGGCCAGAGCCAACAGAGGTGGGAAAGAAGCGGGCCTCCCAAGCAAGTTTGAGGCTGTGTATTATTAAAAGGAAAGCAATTTATCTGTTTTGGCCCCAATTATCCAGGGGAAAGGGGCAGGTGGGACATTTCCCTAATCTCCATGAATGTGAGTGGGCTGGCGAGCAGTGACGCGACGACGCTGCAACGTGTCGCTGGTGTGTGCGGCGACGAAGGTGCGGCGACGTGTCGCCGCACCTTCGTGTCGCTGGTGCAATACAAAGTGTATTCGGTTCAGCCATGAGTTTCGGCCCAAGTGAAGTCAATTAATAGAGCCGCGAAATGCATTTAGCTTATTGCTAAGAACGTGGATATTTAACTTATCGCGTCATGAATATTCGGGGCCTTGTACTTGTAGGGGCAAATAGCCAACTAAATTTCGTCGAAAACGTTTGGCGTTTCCAATCTGGGTAGACTTGTTACACCAATAAGTATATTCACTGCCCACGCTATTGAAGTGTGTCCCACACGGGCAGGCACTCGGGCGATAGCAAGCCATCTTTGAAGCGTTAGGAAGCGAGCGCGGACATGGATGACAGCGCCCCTGGCGGCGGACTTTGTCCCTATCTTTGTGTGTGCCAAGTATTCATCTGTTTCTTTGAGTTAAAAACGACGTGGTATACGCAAACAACCGCAAAAGATGCCTTAAACACGGCAGCTCTTCATCAATTACCACAAGCAAATATACATTCTGTACGTAGATGTCGTCGCATGATGAATATAGATGAAATTAAATGAAATATGATGAATTTGATAAATATCGTCCAAGGACGCTGCCGGCGAGAGTATGTCGAAAACTCAGCCCTAAGACATTTTGTGGGCTGTAACTTGCGAGACGATTCGGAATCGTTAAGTGTTCACCATGCACATTTAAGCCAAGACCCGGAGGAGCGCTTCCTTCAGCCACAATGGGTTTTGAGAGGAAATTGGTTCGACATTAGATTTTTGGAAAATTTTACATCATTTTCAGTACAAGGCAAACCGTGTTTTTTTGCATTTGCGAACAAAAACGATGGGCCAGTGAACTTTTAACCCCGGGATAGGTGTTTCGATTCGCTGTGAGTGTTATACGAGAAACTTATGTTTCGCAATACCTCCATTTCTATTGCACTCATTCTAGCTATACACTTAAACCACCCAGGTACGCATTTTCCCCGAATTTGCGCTATACAGCAGCTTTACTGGGAACATTTGGATTGTTTGGAACTATGGCTTTAACTCCTTGCGACAGCTGCAACATAAGTATTTGACCGGCAGGGGTGGGGATCTCCCTCTATTTCTACTGAGCGTGGAGATGAGGCGTTCATGTGCAGCGCCGCGTCTGACTAGCTTTTCGGCATCACGTTGACTTCTTGTGTAAAAACTTCAACCGTCGCAGGTCAGGTCACCAACCCAGATCGGGTCATGCAGTTCAACCACTAGAAAGTTGACCTCGTGTCGCTTTTGAGGGAGAGTATGTTGGTGTTGGGGATGATCTTAAACGATCGGGATTTGGTGTTGCGAACGAAAAGCTAAATTATCTAGGATGTCTTAAAATATTCATGACCGTTGACCCGAGGCAGGCCAATTTTTTATCCTATTAATGTCTCGGTTACTTCTATCGATTTGTCCTGCATTCGTACTTGTGTCTTGCTACGAGTACGGTCAATAACACATCCGGTAACACCATCATGAGAGAACTAAGCACAAAAACATGCTTGATCGTAGCTTAGGCCATGGCCGCTAAACACCCGGCGTCCAAGAAGTGGTTAAGGATACATAATGTATTGCTGCATGTGGAGAAAAATAATCACCAAATACGAACTCAGCATTAAAAATACACGTCTAGCCTATTGACTATTGTTTAAGCTATTACGACATATGGTGCCACAGCACTGATCCAACGTGAAAACAACTACGCACGCTCCCCTTGCATTGATGAAACCTCTCCGTCGATGCCTCATTTCCCTTGCGATGATGCGCAATTAATGATAACGTACAGCCGGCGCAGCCGTCAGTTGCCAAAACCTCTCCATGTTTGACTTGAGGCGCATGTGCAAGATCCGCCGTTCTCTTGAAGCACGGAGGGCAACAGCGATATGTGTATTGACACGAGAAATACGGCAAGGGCACCACTTGGTCACCACTCCTCTGCCAGTCACGACCCCCTGCCACCGCACTGGCAACACCGTTGATTATCAGCAGTACTGAGACGCAAATAAACACAAGCTTGCAGGCTGCAAAGCGTTCGACACATGTACACCACCCGGCCCTGTCTGTCCTTACACTGCCACGCGCGTCTGCTCTAGGTTTGAAAGAATAAGGCGACCACCATGCTTCTGCATGTACTGTCATGTGTTAGTGGTTATTTGAACAAAAAGCATTTCTTCCCACGAGAAATTTACATTGCCGACCCCTAATGCTCCGGCAATGACATCGAATGCGTATGATCGCACTCGCGGCGCACGACTCGAGGTATTTGCAATGGGCGCTGTAACATTACAGATTGCTGCGGAAGCTGTCACGTTACCGTTGGGTGACACGCCAATGGGGCATCAACGGAATATAATGAGCGCCTGCATCGGACAAGTGCGCTGTGCTTGCAGCTTCATAGCCTGGTAGTAACGCTATCGAGTGCGCAGAGTCGTACTTTTTAAGCGCCGTGATCATAAGTATTGTTCGCTTGCCACCGTATACTGGCCATAATGCTACAAGGCGGTCCGGTTGCGGTAGTGGCAATGGCTTTCAGCGTATGATTGAAACAAAGGTGGTCATGCTGGTGATTTGAATAAGATAGTTCTCCGGTTATGACATGGTATGCGCATGGTCGTACCCGCAGTGCGTGACTAAAGGTATCAAAGGGAGGGATTGCTTTTCATTTCGATGGTGTTTTGACATGAAGATATTGCAGATCTTAAAGATCTGGTAAAGACTGCTGGTGGCAGTCAGCGTATTATCAGTATCAGTATCAGTACATGGAACACCAAGCACATAGAAAGGTGCAGTAGGAAAAGACGCACAATAAAGGCGTACAATAGAACGGTACGAACAATGGTCAAAAAGCTAAAACAGTTCTATGAATGCACTGTAGGCCGGATCAGATCAGTGATCAGTAGTTAAGATCACTTCGAGTATGGCGGTCTCAAACGTGCTCAGTGTTTTGGCATCTCGTACGTACGATGGCAGGCGGTTCCAGGCAGCTGCGAAAACGCGAAATGCGAAAACGCCCTTTGTGTGGTGGCCAGACGGCGTCTGCGCAGGTGCAGACTACCTCTGTCTGGGGCGCGCGCCTCTCGGGCCGAAACAGCGGCGCGCGAGGCAAGAAGCGCAAACCTCGTGAAGCGCACCTACCTCCGTCAGCGCCCTGAACACTTCAGTCACGCCGCGGTGCACCACCGTGGCATCGATCATCGGTTATACCAGGCAGTTTACCGCCGGAGTTACATGGTGGTACTTTTTCGAGCCCCAATTACCCTAGCAGAAAAGTTGATTTTTCTTATGATTTTGTGTAGTTGAGTAGTTGACTCTCGGTCGCCCACCCCACACGCACAGGCAGTGCGTGTTATGGCGGAATAATTTAAGCCAGTGGGATAATCTTGAGAAGGTCTGAAGTAAAACGATGACGGAATCTGTGCAGAGAAACGAGGAAGACATTGAATTTTTTCACGTTGAAAATTAAACTCGAAGATCATTAGGTGCAGTTCAAAGCCCCGCCATTCGTAAGGCCTAAGCCCCTTTAATTTCTGGGCTAAACGCCCTTAAAGATGGAAGGCTTTTTCTGGGGGAGTATTTGAAGGTCACCTTGGCGTTCATGACGTCTAACGCGATTCAAATCCTGCCATTCTATCAGCCACGCGGTGATCGAGGCCAAGACAAATGTAATGACCAAGTCGTTCATATCTGGTGTTTGTGAGCACGATTTGAGATAAAATGACCATCAATTGGATCTCAATCAATGTTGTGCATGGTAAAATGACGTAATCAAGCAATGATTTATCGAGGAGCATATGTACATAACAGATAAATGGTGCTGTCTAGAGCAAGCTTGTTCACTTAAAAGTACACCAACAGGTATAATTGGGCTTGTTTCATCATATCTGATGCTTGCTTCGATATCTTCAACTGTGACACACTCCCTTTAAATGTTCGCCGTAACTTTGCAAACCGCGGCTGAGGCTGTCACATCAGCATTGAGCGACACGCTATCCGGGGCGGGAGGAGGGGGGGGGGGGGGGGGGCGGGGGGTCGACCGAATTAAGTCTAGGCGTAATCAACAAGTGTGCTGTACTCATGGCTGATAGACCTATGCCAGCGCTATCGTACGCACAAGGGCGCGCTCTTCGGGTGTTATTACAAATACTATTCTGGTCCGCCATACTCTAGGCACCGCGCGACGGGCAGACCACCGCAGTTACCAATGCATCATCAAGAGGTAACTATATCAAACAGGTCGCGTTGGCAGATGTGTAGGTTGTGTTCCTGTCCGCTAGTGCTTCCACGATGGCATCGTGTGTGCGTGGTCGCATCATCCGGGCAAGACTAAAAGTTTACTGTGAGCCGTAACTTTCTGACCCGCCAGCATTGAACAGGGAGCTGTCTCTGTTCCACCAAAATGGACATAGGGATTGGAAAAGTGTATTGTACTGGATGTTGATGGCCCTATACCAGCGCTATGGAATGCATACGGCTGCACTCATAGCGCTTAATAACCATGTTTTTCCGTGCCGTAGTACTCTGAGCGTCACACTAAGGCCAGGCTGGCCGCAGTTAACAATGCACTGTCAATGTGTGATTTGAACACAACAGGCCATGTTTTCCGAATGGCGATTTACTTTCTCAGAATGATGCCATTCTGTACCTGGTCTTACCCGCCGCACGCAACTGAATGTATATTAAATTTGGCGTCGTACTATTTCGAATTGGCTCTGCGGCTGGCGCTCCAGCACTAAATGTGACACTGTCCGGGTGTCCACCGAATAAAACGGATGCCTCGATCGCACGAGTGTGTTGTTCTTACAGCTGACAGCCTAACAGAGGCGATGTTGAATGCACTCAGTCGCAATCTTCGCATGCGAGCTGGTTTTTTTTCTTGCCGCTCTTTTCTGGTTATCACATTATCGGCGCACCGGCCGCAGTCAACAATGCTTTTCGTAAGAACGTCATGTACGATGGATAGTTTTCATTGCCGGCCAATAAAAGTCACAAAATGACATCGCACGCACATGGTCGCATCTGCCGTGCACAACTTAAAGTGTTTTGAATTGGGCGCCACAACTTCGCAAATCGCCGCTTCGGCCGACTCGCCAGCATTGAGTGAGACATTGTCGGGCGGTCAGCCAAATAAGTTGGACTCCCTTACCGGACATGTTCGTTGTAATGGCAGCCGAAAGCCCTGCACCAACGTCATGGAATGCACGTAGTTCCACTCTGCAGACGAATATAACTTTTTCACCGGCTGTCGCACTCCGCCTTTTGCGCTACGGGCTGGCCCGCACCAGCTAGCAGTGCACCTTCGAGGGGTGATCGAATAAAAGTGTGCACATCTTAGCACCCAAATCACACGAATAAAAACATGTTGGGCTGCACGCCGTAACAATGCGGACCTCCGCTGGTGCCGTTCCGTGACAAGAGCGGGACTTATCCCGGGAACCGAACCTCGCGGGTTCGACCGAATTGAACAATTTACGTATCGGAGAGGTGTTTTGTTCTAGTCGCTGAAATCCTTATTTCGGAAGCACACCGTCGCACTTGCACGTACAATTATAGGAATATTTCCCGAGTCGCCGTATTATGAAAGGGTCAGAGCCTTAACGGATGGTTTGAACCAAAAAAAGGTCGTGCCGTCCGATGCCGTCCAAGCGGCGATTTCCCTGTCCGGCCGATAGTGCTCCTGCAATGACTTCGCTTGCACATGGTTGCATCCGCCGTGCACAACTTAAGGTATTTTAATTTGGACGTTTCAACGTTGTAACTGGCTGTGGTAAGCGTCCCGCCATCACGGAGTGAGACACTGTCGACGGATCAATTAAATTCAACGGATGCCCAATTGAACAACTTTGTTATGCTCACAGCTGATAACCTGAAGGCAGCTCTATCGAATGCACGCGCTTGCACTGTTCTCGTGCAGTTGTAGGTACTTTCCCCGGGCCGCTGTGTTTTGACCACCATGCCACGGGCAGGCTGTCCGCAGTTACCAATGCACCGTCAAGGGCTGATTTAAATACAAAGGGCCATGTCGCCGCCCGAAGGACGGTTTACTTTGCCGCGGATGGTGGTCCCAGAATGGCACTGTTTGTACGTGATGGCACTCGTTGCACGCGGAAATTATTTTGCAATTTAACGCCGTAACTTGTCGAATCGCTGCTGTAGCCGCTGATGGAAGCTCTCTCCAATGCAAGCAGTTTCACTTTTTGCTAGAGATTATGCGTATTTTTTCGGGCCACTGGATGCTGGCCATCACGTTACGGGTGGGCCGGCCACAGTTAACAAAGCGCTGAGAGAAACTGCACCGCCAACGCGTTGTGAGGCCCCCTCCCTCATCCCAGAAAGTATACAATATGAGGCCCTTGCTTGCTAACGCAGATCGTTGCTGTTATTGTTGGCTGAATGCCGAGATCAGTTAGCACGATCATTTTTGCGCTTCATAAGTACCTCAAAAACATGCACGATCCCAAACTATGACGGGACTTTCTGCGGCGAACTGGCACTAAAAAAACAAACACTAGAAAGACCTGGCTTCAAAGATGCAGCAGTATCTGACAAAACAGCACAGGCGGTGTCCGACAGATGACCAGCTGTCCCACTCCTAGCGTCACCTAGGCAGCTGGATTTATCCTAAGGTTCACTAACTCGTCAAGAGATGTCACATGAAGCTGCTACTTTTTGTTCCTAGATGGCAGCAGGTGGTGTCGCTTACCGCAGTGTTTACGGCACGTCTGCGCGGGGCCGGCAAACGACTGGGACCAGTGTCCCGGGGGCTGCGGGTCGGAAGGGACGGTGCGTGCTAGCGAGAGGCCGATCCTTTGGAAAAGCAAGCTTCCTGCAGCGTGGATGGCTGGATAAGAAGCGAAGTGAATATTTGGACGGTACCGGCGAGGAACGTCAAGGTAAGCGCCTTACAACATGAAGACTGGTGCTGGAGTACTGCTAGTTAGTGTCGGCACACCATAAGCTTTTTGTGAAATTTGCCTCGTCGTTTAGCGTACTTAGCAAGCTATTGGATCTTACTCACTTTAGAGTCATGCGTAACCTGAGAGTTAGGAAGATACCATTTCCGTAATGCCTACAATTTAAAAAAAGATCGACGCTGCACTGGTAACGACCAGAATGCAGAAAAACCGGCCTAACGTTCCTAGTTGGAGCGCTATATGTACTGTACGCGTATATCTGCCGTCTTGCAATGCATTCAACGCACCCTTACATCGCCCAGTACCGGTAAAGTGCCGATGTAAGGTCATCCGGAACATCAATTCAAAACCTGCTGCATCACCGGTGCTACTTCAGTTCCGGTCACAGGCACTACGGTACCGACGTCATGCACCTTCGGAATGCGCCTACACGCCCGCATCATAGTGTTAATGACTGGGGAGTGAATATGACATCAGTGACATGCTCGTGCCCAAGTTGCAACGGGATTATCTACACGTGATTAGCATGTCGGGAGTCACGTCAATCCAGTTGAAAAAGATGCCCTGAAAACTGTCTGCAGCTCACTTCCCATTTCTTTGAATGCTCTTGTTTGAACACACGCAGTCCAGCGTCATCATCAGTGCAGTGGTACCCCGATTCCCGAAAACATCTCACTCCCACCTTCATCTCCCGTCCAAAATGCCCTCGTCACTCCGTACTCGATCACGCTGCTACGACCTCCAATCCAGCGGAATGCCGCGCTAGTGACTCGGTATCGTACGTGAAGCCCCGCGGTGCATACCTCATAATCCATGAGATGCATCTAACCGTCAAAGAAATAACTAATGTTCTGTAATAAGAACAGATATCATCAGCTGCATGCCGCTGATTAAAGACATCTGAAACAGGCTAGAAATGAGCAACGAGCTGTCAGCCTCAAGCCATCTACTGGCTGTAGATGACTCGCAAATGCTGGAGACCCGTAGGTGGCTTGAGACTAAAGGTTGGTTTGTTTTGGGCTTGTTTCAGGTGTCTGCAATGTAATCATTGTCGTGTAGTTGATCATCTTTGTTCTTACTGCAGTCTTTACAAGCATGCCAGACACCGCACACACAATAGAACAAATGTTTTGTTTTGGCAAAAAAGCTTCACGATTTTGTTGGCAGATTTAGCGACGTTACATGCTTAAATCCCATGCCTTGCGATACAAGAATTTCACATGGAATTATCTGCATCGCACGTTGACATTGCAGCTGGTATGGTTACTGAGTGTCTGACGTATTCCTGAGACAAACCACCAAGTCATGTGCGTCCATATGCTGACCCTATGCATATCCACAGCAAGCTAAATGCCAACTCGGGAGAAAAGGCACATCTTAAGCACGGAGTTCGTAGTGCGAAAGGACGTTGAATATGATGTAGAAACAAGCTACTAATGGGAAGATACAATATCTAGATCGATGACCTGCCTGTACCCCGTGCGCTGTTCTCTTGATGACACCACAATGGGCACTTTTCATCCGGAACCCAAGCTTTTATGCTTGCGATTTTTGTCTTCCCCTTACTTCCTTTCCCTACCCTCCTTGTTTTTGTCTGAATTACCACTTCTCGTCAAGACTACCTCCATCATAATCCGAACATACAGCTGAAACTACTGTTTTGTCTGAGCACCGCTTGCGACTTAATGTGTACTCTCCGTATGCCGCACAAGTGCTCAGTCCTGCTGCCGAGGGAACGAGAGATCCCTTTTCTCCGTCCGCTGGTGTTTGGGGCTGGTGGGTTGCAGAGGCCGCGGGTTCAGCTTGGTCAGCGTGCGGTACGCCCCACGGCCTTTGCTGCAGTCGGAGCTGGCTCACTGGTGCCTGATTCCTGCTTGCTGTAAATAGGCAGGCAGTATTCTAAGCCCAGTCATTACAGCGGTGAACAATGTTATTCGTGCGTATGGCAGCACATATGTGTGTGTCGAATGCACGAAATAAAAAAGTCTGAAATAAGGATCTAGCCAAATGTGCCGCGGTGTAAGCGCCGGCACAGACTCCACGGCGCCGTCGCAGCGTGGAGAAACCGAACGTTACATATCAGTGTTATGTCAGATCTCGTAATATTCCCCTGCGTGTGCTGTCAACATCATCGCGCCGCTCACCACTTCTGCTCACACCTCGTCAGCCGCCAGATGGTACCCAACGCCCGGAATCGCCCGGGAGCTTTCTCTACGTGACTCGGAGAGGGCCTGTCGGACCCAATTCACCCGCCCAGCCGAGAGCTGCCTAACCCAGCGATCGGTTCGTCTGCCAGTGCTACGACCCGACGGGGCGTTGAACTCCTTGACGGCGGCCGCTGCCTTCCGTTCGGTCGTTAAAGTCTCGCGGAGGCCGGCCCGTCTGGCGCCGTTTGAATCAATCGGGCAGGGGCCGGCGGATTTGGTTGGCTGCCTCGACCGGTCCGTTATCGCAGGGAAACAGCCGCTCCCGTGATGGGTGATGCAGATCAGCTGCCTTCCGTGACGGGTACTGCAGGTCAGCTGCCTGCCGTGACGGGTGCTGCAGGTCAGCTGCCTGCCGTGATGGGTGCTGCAGGTCAGCTGCCTTCCGTGACGGGTGCTGCAGGTCAGCTGCCTTCCGTGGCGGATGCTGCAGGTCAGCTGCCTTCCGTGACGGGTGCTGCAGGTCAGCTGCCTGCCGTGACGGGTGCGGCAGTTCAGCTGCCTCCCGTGACGGGTGCTGCAGGTCAGCTGCCTTCCGTGACGGGTGCTGCAGGTCAGCTGCCTGCCGTGACGGGTGCTGCAAATCAGCTGCCTCTCGTGGTGGGTGCTGCAGTTCAACTGCCTTCCCTAACAGGTGCTGCAGCTCAGCAGCTGCAGGGTGGTAGAATGATTTCATGACATTCGGCGGGATTTTCTGCACTTTTGTCGCATTCTTAGGTTCTTAGGCGGGAAAAATCAATGCAAACTCACCCACGAAGACTTAAAGATTTGAACTGTTAAAGCATGCGTATGTCGTTGGTGTGACAGCTGTGGTAAGGAAAAAACATGCCACCAAAAGTTTGTGTTTCTCCTAAGAGAGATAAAATGATCTGTGACCGCAAGATGGCCTTCATCCTTTTGAACGTTCATAATATCCTGTTGCCAGTCATTACAGACCGCGTCGCATGCTCCAGCTGGCATTTAAGATGGAAAACACCCAGCTGTTTGGCGTTCAGGAACTGGCATGAGCCGAGAGCTGTTAATGCATACATTTACCGATACAATCTGGGCATTCATGCGCCTACGGACCACGCACACCTGCGGCAAAACAGCGGCGTCATTGTGCTGGAGCGACTCGAGAACACGGCCCTCTGTTTTGTCTCGCAAGTCGACAGGAGCACACAGTGCATAGCAGTTGATCTGCGAGGCCCCAGCCAGGGTCGGCGTGGGATGACGGGTCGTTGTCCACTGGCGGGCCGCGTCAGCGTTATCTGTGGACAGGCTGCCAGCAGGGCCATTGTGGGCTGGCTGAGGCCGGTCCTCGGTGTGAGGCGGCGCTTCAGGGCCCTTGTGGGCTGGCTGGGGCCGGTCCTCGGCATGAGGCGGTGCTTCAGGCTGATGCATAATTCACACGTGTGTGGCGATACACGGCGGCCGCTGCGGCCCTGGGCCAATGCCTCTCGAGGTCTGCAGCCCGCCAGCCGAAATCCGGCCCTCTCTGACCCATGTGACCGTCAGAAGACAGCGCCGCTTGACACCTGCGAGTCATGGCCGAATTCCTCTAAATCGCTGTGTCTAGTGTAAGCCTCCAGATCAGAGGGGGGCGTGGCCCCCATGCCCTCTTCGGCTACGCCAAACAAACCAGGAGCGCGGTTGGGCTGGTCTGAGCTGTCGTGCCGCCTGCCCCGGCCCGGAAAGTGAACCTGCTCTTGTATTCAGGTGCCAGAGCTGGCAGAATACCCCTGTCTGGTCCACACGAGATCTTCTAATGAATGTCGCTCTGGTATGCGCGGCGTCAGTGTGAAAATCCAATCATTCGGCATCCGAGCCCAATGTTAAGCTCCCAAGTGAGCGCAGACTGGCATGACGAACGCGGTTAGTTTGGGCAGACCTCGTCAGTTAATTATCAGATTGTTGGTTCAACCTATTACCTTGTTCGTCGGCGGTGTCTGACTGGCCTCGTTTGTCGTCCAGTCGAAACATCTCTACAAACCTTTTCAATAATATTTATGTTGGGATTCATAGCCAAACCGTGGCCAACTGGTCTCTTAGATTTGTATGTTAAATGACAGGATTCATCAAGGTTTTCGTCAAACTCAAGCAAAACATAATTACGTAAGCTGCTCAGTGTATTAGCGAGGACAATTATTCACATAGATAAGACAGCAGTAATAGCCTTATTCCTCGGAGAAAAAACAGGAGAATGGAGATATAGATATAGCTGAGTTCGACCGCCGGCTATATATCTCTGTATCCATTCTCCTGGTTTTTCTCTGTGGAGTAAAGCTATTACTACTGTCTTATCAAACAAAGCGGAGCTGTAGTGCAGCCCGTGACACTCATGGGTGTCGCGCGTCGCCTGTAACTTGTCTTCGCATTTCTCTTGCCCAACCGACCAGGCGAGATCGCGTCTTTGTCACGAAGTAGTTCAGGGCCCACCTGAGCGTCGACGGCCGCTCCCATGCGTGGCGCCGACTTCGGCGGCGGCCTCGCGAGGACCCAGCCGAGGATGACGACATTAATCAGCGGGCCGGCGCCGCTTGCACCAAGACTACCCCGCCGACGGCCGAGCACGGCCCGCCGTTGGTATGCCCGAGCTGGGAGAACGAGCCTGGTCAGACGGAGCCGGATCAAAGGGGAGCCGGTCAGCATCGGTGAGGTCAGGGAGGGTCATATCAAGGCGGGATCGATCGCACTATGGTCTGCCCGCCCCGTTCTGAGTGGGCGGGCCGCCGGTTAGAGGCCTAGGTCGGAGCTGATCAGGCCACGCCGGGGCTCGCGCAGCCTTCTCAGCGG